CACTGTGCGACCTTATTGCCGTGGCTTCCCCCAACGGCTTGTAAATAACCGTCTTAGGGGAACAAGCCTGCTTGAGAAACAAAGAATTGCTCACAGTGAAGTGGAAGGACAAACGGGATGTTTTTCTTCCTGTCTTCCATTCACGCAGATTTGACCATCCAAATTACCACGGCTGCTGGTGTTGAGTAGTCCCTCTTTGTCCATGACTATAACCTTAACATGGGAGGGGTGGACTTCAACGACCAGATGATGAAGCCGTACTTAGTTTCCCAAAAAGCCAGACGCTGGTACAAAAAAGTGTCTATTTATTTATTTCAGTTGTCTTTTATATAACGCTTTTTTGTTCTTTACAAAGCAACTGGACATAGTGGATCCTTCCTAAAATTCCAGGAAGAGATCATCACGGCCCTTTTGTATCCAGAAGGTTCTATGGCCCCAACCCAGATGCAGTTAGCCGGCTGCATGAGAGGCATTTTCCCGATGCCATTCCTGGTACCCCAACCCAAAGGAACCCCCCAAAAATACCATACACTGGTGGAGTATTAGTATAGGGTAGGGGTTAAAATTTGAGTCCAGACCTACTAGCCAGTCACAAAACTTACTCTCCACCAGTTGCCCCACCCAACCTTGCCCAGGTCCGCCCCAACCACGCCCCCTTAAAGCTTATGAAATTAAATTTTTCTTTAGAATAAATAGTCCAAAATATAAAACTGTACACAGTAATGTATATCCCAGCTCCTCTGTACTCCATTATAGTGATATGACATGTATAAAGTATGTATATCCCAGCTCCCCTGTACTCCATTATGGTGATATGACATGTATACAGTAATCATTACTGTATACATGTCATATCACTATAATGGAGTACAGGGGAGCTGGGAATATACATTACTGAGTAATGTATATCCCAGCTCTCCTGTACTCCATCATAGTGATATGACATGGTGTATACAGTACTTGCTGTCCTGCCGAGTCCCCCGTGGCGGTGGAGAGGGTGTCTCCTCTCAGCGGAGGAGAGCGGACCTCTCCTGCACCTGTCCCCTCGGCGGAGGTGCCGCAGAAGCCGGAAGTTGTAAACCGGACCTCGGCTTCACAATGAGGCTTGGAGCGCAGGTACAGTTGCTCCATGCTTCATCTGTGCTCACCGCTCGCCACAGAGGAATTTTTTCCTCGCATTTCGCAAGCGGGCGAGCGGCTTTTTCAAGCCCTGGTATAGGGTACAGCATGGCACACTTCAGGGCACATTTACACAGGGTCTCGAAAGATGTTAGGTAGTCAGAAAACTGGCTGTCGCATTTGGAGAGCCCCTACCATCTGTGTTTAAAACGTTAAAGTTTGAAAAAAAAAAAAGTAAAAAAATAAAGAACAAATCCCAAAAATTAAAAATTTTAAAAACTAAAAAATAGCTGTGTGTGGTTTTTTTTTTTTTTTTTTTTTTTTTTTTTTTTTTTTTTGTTTTTGTAATTTTTGTAATACATTTATTGTTTTGTTACTGTTTTATTGTTAACCATTGTTGTTTTCTTTTGCAGGAATGCTTTCAGTTGCAGCACTGACCTGTTCTGACAGCAACAGGAAATTTGCTCTCAGAATATACATAAATAGGTGTGTGCAGTGCTGTCGGATGACATTTTTCATCCACAGTTTAAAAAAAAAAAAAAAAAAAAAAAAAAAGAGCATATATGCTGAAGCATGTGGGCCTGAGGTGGCCAGTGGGTGGATGGCCCCTATGCTTCGGCATATATATATTTTATAATATTTGTTGGCACATTTCATGTGTGCCCACCATTAGAAGTGGGTGGATTCAGGGAGGTATTCTAATGGTGGGCATACCACACACTTTTTCTGGCAGAGATTTCTTCTCTTTTTTTCCCATTCAGCCCACAGGCTGCATAAAAAAAAAAAAAGAACATGGCATATGCACCCAACAAGGACCAGCAACGTACTGGTACATCATTGGACTTGGTTATACCAGGGTGATGCCTGCCTGCATCGTTTTTTTCAGCCGGCGATTGGCTTTCATGTAAAAATAATGCTAGTGGCTAATTAGCTGCAGGATTGCTTTCTCAAAGAATATATGACAATGCCCATTGAAGTTATAGGGATATTTAAATTCCCTGTGATAGCATTAAAAGTGATTAAAAAAAAAATTAAAGGGACAGTGTAAAAATAATTAAATCAAAACAACTTAAAAAAAAAAAAAAGTACCCTCAACCCCCACTTTGGTGCATGCGCACACCTGCGTTCGTGAGCGTTGACCCTGTGCCAGTATGGAAACAGCAGTTGCACCATGCATGTGAGGTATCGCCACGAATGTCAGATCAAGGGCAGTAATTCTAGCACTAGACCTCCTCTGTAAATCTAAAATGGTAGCTTGTAAAGGGTTTTAAAGAGTTGCCTATAGATATTAAAAATGTATGCAGTTTGTCACCATTGCACAGGGCATGCTCGGTTTTATAGCAGGTCATGTTTGGTATCTATTTATTCAGCATAGCATCAGCTTTTATATCTTACCAAATAATTGGCCAATATATTGTGTTTTTGTGCATTAAAATTAAAGTATTTTTTTTTTTTTTAAAATTGCGTTTAAAAAAAAATGCTGCGCGAGTGCTATGTGACATAAAAACTTACAGCACCCACCATTTTATTCACTAGGGTCTCTGCTTTAAAAAAATATAATATTTGGGGGTTCAAATAATTTCCTTGCAAAAATACTGTGGTTTTTTGTTTTTTTTTTTTTCTTTTTCATGTGAACAAAAAGTGTCAGAAAAGGCTTGGTCTTCAGGTAGTTAGAAGAGTGAGTAATGTGTGGCATAAACTTCTAATGCTGGGCATAAAATGCCCCCTTATTGGAAAGTAGACCCTTCAAACTATTTTCTGAGAGGCATGTTGAATCAATAAAAGAATTTTATTTTTTTACCACAAGTTTTTGGAAAATGACAAAAAAAAAAATAAATTTTACACAAAATTGTCATTTACATAATTTTATTGCTCACACATGCCATAGGTACATGTGGAATTACTCCCCAAAATACATTCTGCTACTTTTCCTGAGTATGAGGGTACCACATGTGAGAGATGTTTTGGCAGTCTAGACAAGTACTTTATTTCCTCATTATACTTCCAGACTACCTATCACAGTTTCAGGGGCCCTGAAATGCCATGATAGCACCGAACCCCCCCTCCCCCTTCCCATTGACCTTTTTTTGGAAAGTAGACACCCCAAGGAATTTGATAAGAAGCATTGTGAGTATTTTGCAGATCCCATTTGTTGCCACAGGTTTTTGGAAAATGAAGAAAGAAAACAAACATTTTTTTTATATTTCAAAACCTTGTGAGAAAAAATGAGATCTGCAAAATACTCACCATGCCTGTTTTTAAATTCCTTGGAGTGTCTGCTTTCCAAAAAGGGGTCATTTTGGGGGGGGGGGGGGGTTGGTACTATGCTGGCATTTCAGGGCCTCTGAAACTGTAATAGGTAGTGAGGAAGTGAAATGAGGAAGTTGCGCACCTTCAGGCTTTCAAAGTGGTCATTGGATTTCAGGCTCCTGTATGTGGCTAGGCTTCCAAAAAGTCTCACATGTGGTATTCCCATACTCGGTAGAAGTAGAGGAATGTATTTTGGGGTGTAATTCCATATATACCCGTGGCTTGTGTGAGATATTATACAATTTTAAAGCACAATTTTTGTGTTTAAAAAAAACCAAAAAAAAAAAACCTGTTATTTTTTTCAAAATACTTGTGGAAAAAAAAAAAAATCTTCCATGGACTCAATATGCCTCTCAGCAGATAGCTTAGCTTAGGGTGTCTACTTTCCGAAAAGGGGGTAGTTTGTACGATCCTGGTATTTTAGCACCTCAAGAATTGTGATAGTCAAAGTAAAAGCTGTGTAAATTTCAAATTATCTATACCATAGTTTGTAGATGCTATAGCTTTCACACAAAAAAATCAATATACACTTATTGGGATTTTTTTCTTTACCAAAAACATGTAGCAGAATACATTTTGGCCTAAATTTATGACAATTTTTTGGCTATTTGACAGAAATGAGAAAATATTATTATTTTTTTTTTTTTCAAAATTTTCGTGGTTTTTTTATTTATAGCGCAAAAATAATAAATAGCGCACAGGTGATCAAATACCACCGAAAGAAAGCTTTTTGTGTAAAAGGATGTAAATTTTGTTTGGGTACAGCTTTGCATGACCGCGCAATTGTCAGTTAAAGTAGTACAGTGCTGTATAGCAAAAAATGGCATAAATTCCATCATCTATACCATAGTTTGTAGATGCTATAACTTTCACACAAAGCAATCAATATACACTTATTGGGATTTTTTTTTTACCAAAAACATGTAGCAGAATACATTTTGGTCTAAATTTTATGACTAACTTTGAGTTTATTATATATTTTTTATAGCCAAAAATAAAAAATATAATTTTTCAAAATTTTTGGTCTTTTTTTTTTTGTTAGCGCGAAAAATAAAAAGAGCACAGGTGATCAAATACCACCAAAAGAAAGCTCTATTTGTGTGAGAAAAAGCACATAAATTTCATTTATGTACCGTATTGCATGACAGTGCAATTGTCAGTTGAAATAGTGCAGTGCCAAACAGCAAAAAAAAAAGACCTGGTCAGGAGGGCAAGTGGTGTGTGTGTGTGTGTGTGTGTGTGTGTGTGTGTGTGTGTGTGTGTATGTGTATGTATATGTATATGTGTATGTATGTATATGTGTATGTATGTATATGTGTATGTATGTATAAAAAATATATATATGTGTGTGTGTGTGTGTGTGTGTGTGTGTATATATGTGTGTGTGTATATATGTGTGTGTGTGTGTGTGTGTGTGTATATATATATGTATGTGTGTGTGTGTGTGTATGTATGTGTGTATGTATATATATATATATTATATAGATAGAATGACCTTTTTGTTTTCTTTCAACTTGGCTAAATATAGCTATGTAACATAAATTGTTTTTTTTTTTTTTTTTTCTCTCTAGTGAGAACTACGGTAAAAATTTTGAAGACGTAACAAGTCTCATAAAGAACACATATATACGCACAGAATTTGGCATGGGTCTTGGTCCTGAGAATTCTGGAAGGGTAAGCCTGCAAACTGTTAAAGCAATATTAAGCCCAAAAGCAAACACCTGTTATTTATATATTGCAGCTTACCAATTTTTACATGTGATAGCTGCTTTGGTTTTCTTTTTAAGACTTTCTTTCCTTTATTTTCACCTTGTGATCTGGCCAGTAAGTTTGTTTTTCAGAAACGCAAGCTCTCCTGGAGATGTAGCAGCTACAGGGATGAGACAAACTGTATAACACTTACAGGGGTGCCTTACTTGACCAGCTTTTGAATGTTTATGTAAAACATTTACCGCAAAAGAAGAAAAAAATATTTGCTTTAACTGCTTATGAAGTATCAGCTTGAATTTGGCTTCAGTTTATTTGTTTAAATCTGCTGGTACATCTAACCCTACCCAGAAGGAAAATGCTGCTGTGCAAAGGTGCTCCTTTATCCAGAATGGAGGCATGCTAATACAGGAGGTGTGAGGTGTCTTACAGAAAATTAATGCAGCCATCACATCTAATAGTTGGTAATCTACAATATATTACATCTTGGTTTTGGGTTTAATACCACTTTAAGTTTAGCTTTGTGGTTACTAACAGTAACAATGTTAGTCGTAGTGCTTTTTTACACTGAAGCTATCTAAATATATCTAGTTTTAGCCCTTTTGCTTCCAGAGCTATCTTTGCATTTTTTGCACACGTTTTAAAAAATTACTTCAGGCCTGAAGATCACCCCCCCCCCCCCCCAAAAAAAAAAACAAAAACATTTTTATGTATTTTCTGAAAGCACCCTAAAGCAGGGGTATTGAATTAAAATTCACCAAGGTCCGTGCAGTAAAATTTGCATGCATTAGAGGTCTGAATCATCTCATGTAGGCCCCTGTGGTGCATTTTCATGTACGACAAACCACATGTTGCTGCGGTGCAATTTTTTTTTTTTTTTTTTTTTTAAAAAGGGTCTGGGACTTCATGTTTCTAGCAGGTAGTGCTGACCTACCCACAGCGTGTGCACCAAATGCACATGTACAGATCTGAACCTGTTCTCACATCAGTGTCCTCACATCACCCCCCTCTACCCCTTTCACAGTAGTGTTCTCACACTTCCTTGACATAAACCCCCCCTGCCAACAGCACTGTCCTCCGCCCCTTTTTTTTTTTTTATATCATCCCCCCGTGTTATTGTCCTCAGAGCCCCCCCCCCCCTCCCCTGTGTTACTGTCCTCGGACACCTCCCCCCCCCCCCCCCCCATGGTATTGTCCTCAGCCCTTCCCACTTTAATGTCCTTAACCCCCACACACCTTAGCCCCCCACATTAGTCAGTCCCCCCCACATTCAGTCCTCGGCCCCCCTTCACACTAATAGGACATTAGCCCATTTAACTTTGCCCAACCCCCCCCCCCCCCCTTTGTCCTACCTTACACAGACAGTGATTAATTGCTAAAACTGCCCTTCATCATAGCAACCAATCACCTGCTTGTTAACCTCTGATAGCTCCCACCCTCCATCCAGAACAGTCCTGCCTCCCACTATCAGCTGTGAGGATGACCATGAGACAGCTGGGGGAAGAAAAGGCTCTTAAATGGTAGGACTGCATGGGTCCAGATGGGACAGTGACTCGGTCTGCATACGTACCCCCGGTCCGCCATTTAGTGATGCCTGCCCTAGAGAATAAAATAGTGGTAGTTCCAATTTTTTTATGTCACTGGATATTACCGCAAAGGTCTAAGCAACACAAAATTACAGTAAAAAACACATTAAAGTGAACACAAATTACCCAAATTTTTGGTAAAATATAAAAGATGAGGTTGTGTTGAGTAAATGGATACCCAACATGCCAAACCTTAAATTTTGTGTGCACCTATGAAATTGGTGACAAACCTCCTTACCCTTTATTTTCTATAGGTGACGTTTCAAAATCCGCTATAGGTCATCAGTTTAGTGTTACAGAGGAGGTGATATGTCATGTGTACTGCAATCGATTTCACACGTAGGCGCCCCGATGTATGCGTTTGTTTGTACGTGCATATATTTAGGGGTGGGGCTCAAATTTTTTTTTCTCTCATTGCATAGAGGAAACAAAGTCCCCTATCTGATGATTTTTAGGTGACAGGTTCTCTTTGAGACATGGAGGCAGGCAGGAAACTGACAGTTTTATACACAATCCCGGTGGCAAAGCTTTCCTTCTGGAGTGGATGGAAAGGTGTAGTACTAACCTTGTACAGGTTAGTGGTCAGAGGAAATATGGTAGCCTTCTTGCCGACTGGGTTGGAGAAGCTCCTCCACAGAAATATTTATCAATGATCTCCCTCAAGAAATCCATAAAGTTAAATTAATTCCACTTTTTCAGACTGCTGGAACATTGTATAAGTTTTTTTATCTTTTATGATGACTTTGCATTTTACTTGTATAATAATCTGGCCACTAGAAAACACCTGAAAAACAGCATGTGTAATGTAGTTTTGTATATCCAGGGGTGTGTTGCCGGGCTGTTGGGTAGGCTCCTCGCTGGCCTGGGTGCCTGGCTTTCGATTAGCTTACTGATAATTAGATCACTGTTAGCTGCTTGCTGTTAATAAGATAACGGTTTGATTAGATCACTGTTAGATGTTAGCTGCTCATTAGACTGATATTACTGTTTGCATAGTTTAGGATAATGTAATCAAGCTCTTACCTGATTCTGTGTGGTGTATAAATTCTGTGTGAGTTGACAGTAAAGATTTCCAATTGCACCTAAGCTAGTGTTGTCTTGTTCTTGGTTGCAATGCCCAGCTATATTACCTTGGTCCTGTGTCCCAGAGGTGAGGAAGCGGCTCTTTGATGGAAGCACCCAGGTTGGGTGCCAGGCTCTCTGTCACACTGTGCTCTTGTATTTTTAAAGTAAAACGTGTGTAAAAAAAAAAAAAAAAAAAAAAAAATTTTAATGAATAAAATAAATACATGATCAATTAATTTAATGTGATAAGTGTCGCATGAAAATCCATAAAGTGAAATCGGTCAATCCAACTTGTCCTTTTATACTTAAATTATTTAAACACAAATGGCTCTTTTTACAAACAAAAAAAATGAGTGTGTGTGTGTATATGTATATATATATGTATGTGTGTGTATATGTATATATGTGTATATATGTGTATATATGTGTGTGTGTGTGTGTATATATGTATATATATATATGTGTGTGTGTGTGTGTGTATATATGTATGTGTATATATATCTAAATCTCCATCTCCACATACCTCTTTTGATTACTACCTACAGTACTCATGCATCTATGCCAATATTTGCCTGTAATTTACAAAGACTGGTGAAGCTGTACATGGGAACAAGTTGGCTTATAGCTTTATTTTAACTTTTCAGCTTAACCAGTTCCAGTCTGTGCCATATTGGTGTTTTTTTGCTAGAAAACGAGAGAGAGATTTGCGTATGGAAATGGCACTAAACTACAGTATCTAAAAATCACAATAGGCGATGATATAAAAGCCTTTACACGTTGTCGGTTTAGAATTACACGGGGTCTGGCGCTAGAATTATTGGTCTTCTGACTTTTGAGGCAATACCTCACATGTGTGGTGCAATGTAATCACCGTTTATATATGCGTGTGGGTCCTAAGTACTCGTTCGTATTTGCACAGACCACAGATCTCTCTGGCCTCCAAAGCATCTGATCAAACCGAGATCTGCTAACGGATTGTTTTATATGAGACCAAAACCAGAAGTGATAAAATCCTCATTGCTTTTGGTTTCTGATGTCACACAATGGGAGGAACAACTTCAGTTCCTCTCATTGTGTCACAGAAAGCTCATGCCTGCCAGTCGCAGCCTTTGGATGCCCAAAGTGGGTCTCCTTTCTGCCAGCTCCACTAGGATTACTATTTTGGAAATCGCCAGCTGAAAAAAATTTATACCGGGATCATGGTTGCAACCTTAACTATGATCCTGGTATAACCACTTTACCCTTTTGGTTGTTTTGTTTATACACTTCCTAAAGACTGGAAATGGTTAACTGAGGAAGCTGGGTTATCATGCTCAGCTGCTGCAGATTGTCTGCTCCAATTTTAGAAAATTCCCCCAATTTTTTTTTTTTTTTTTTTTTTTTCTCCATAGGTTGTTCTGGTTGCTGAAGTGTCTGGAGGGAGCAGTGGTGGTCGTATATTTCGATCTTCGGACTTTGCAAAAACGTTTGTGCAAACAGATTTGCCTTTCCACCCTTCGAGGCCAGTATCTTACAATCCTGAAGATCCCACAAATCTGCTGCTTATTAGTATGCAAGTGAGTAGAACAAAGCTTAATTATGTTTGATGTGTAATATTTGACTGCTTCCCACCCGCCCTATAGCAGAAGTACTGCTACAGGGAGGCACGGGTGCCCAAAATCACGTATGTGTGTATATATACGTGATTTTGCTGTTCTGGGTAGGGGGCACGCGCCGTCAATCACCTGGTCCCAGGCGGTGATTAATCGCCAGTGCCCAGTGATTGCCGAGCATCTCTGATGGGTGGAGGTGGGGAGAACTGTTTGTAAACATTACAGTTTTCTCACCTGTCATCTCCTGCACACTGCTTTGTAAAGCAGTGTGCTTACAGTGATGCACTAACACAGGACACAAAGTTTATTTAAAAGCCACAGCCTCTACCAAAAACACTTTGTTCTGCTAAAATGGTGTTGAAAGACACCCTGCTTCCAAGTCCACTTTTTCCAGGTGGACAAGACCGCTCATAAGAGCCTGTCATCTAAACCATTTGGTGCCTCCAGTAAACCTACATGCTCACTCCACCAGATTAATGGGCCTTCTACCATCAGGCTTCTGATGCCTAGCTTTGTAAGCTAGGGCATAGTCCTCACTTTTGATGTGTGACTGTGATCGTTTCCTTGGGTTGTGTGGGGTTTTTTTTTTGTTTCGGTGCTTTTGTTGTTTGAACATTTTTAAATAGAATATGAGCACATGAGTTTGATATATCCTTCTGTATGCATTCAGAACTGCTGTGACAAACAATGGAAGATATAGATCACTTCACTTATACTTCAATCAAACATCACAGAATACAGCTGCTTGTATGTGCTATTGTTGAGTTTAACATTAACGACTTTCTGAAAAGTTCAGATAGTGGTTGTTTGGTTCAAACCCGTTCAAGATGCCAAAACCCAATTTCAGAAAAGTTCCATTGGCATGCTCTCATGAGTTTATATGAAAAGCACTATAGTATATCCTCTAACAATAGGTTTTATAATAAGCAAGCAGCAGATAACTATTGTAATCTAGAACCCATATTAGCGTTATGGTTAGAGGAAAAAAATTGGAGAATATAGACAGAGAAGAAAATCTAAATGTAATGGAGAGAAATGTTAAAAGGAGGCTGTTGAAGAGGTAAGAGGGGGGAGGGGGAGGAAGGGAAGAGTCAATAACCCCCTCCCCAGTCTTTGAATATGTAAGACCCGGTCTATACACCCTTTAACCACTAGCCTACAGGGCACTTATACCCCCTTCCTGCCCAGGCCAATTTCCAGCTTTCAGCGCTGTCACACTTTGAATGACAATTGCGCGGTCATGCAACACTGTACCCATATGAAATTTTTATCATTTGTGACAGAGCTTTATTTTGGTGGTATTCACCTCTGGGATTTTTATTTTTTTCTTAAACCAAAAACCACTGAATTTTGAAAAAAAAAATTTTTTTTTTCCTTAGTTTGTTATAAAATTTTGGAAATAAGTGATTCTCCTTCACTGATGTCCGCTAATGAGGCTGCAGTGATGGGCATGATAGGCTACACTGATAGGTGCACTGATGAGGAGGCACTGGTAGGTGGCACTGATGGGCATTGACAGGCATCACTGATTGGTACTGAAAGGCAGCACTCATATATGGCACTGTTAGGTGGCACTGACTGGCAATGTTAGGTGGCACTGAAAGGCAGCTCAGATGGGCACTGGTAGGCAATGATATGTGGCACTGATGGGCACTGGCAGGTGGCACTGATGGGCACTGGCAGGTGGCACTGCTGGGGCTACACAGATCATCAGGACACACTGATAATCAGTGCCCTGATGATCAGTGTACATGTCCCCTCTGAGGGATGCCGATTACCGTCTCTGCTCTCCTCTCGAACTGCCAGCGTGACCGCTCGTGAGGAGAGAAATGCCGATAACCGGCATTTCCCTATTTACATGCAATCGGCTGTGATTGGACACAGCCGATCACATGACCGAGCCGACATTTTCGGCTCTTTCTGTTGATCAGTAATCGGCTGTGTCCGAGAGACACAGCGCACCACCGATCGCCGCGCTGCACGCTCCCGGAGACGCGCATGCGTGGTTAGAATAGGATGATGTCCTTCCAGAATGAGAGAACCGCCTTGTTCCCATAATTACACTATATGGGGGGCGGGAGGCGGTTAAAGGGGTTATTGCTAGTGCAGGATATGCCAGGGGAGCAAGACTGTTGAATTTAGTGATTGTTACCAAGTCTAACTGTTAAGTATTCCATGTTATAAATGTCAAGAATGTCATTTATGGAAATCCTCCTTGGAGGATGTCTTCTGTTTTAATGCTATTGAGCATCTCGTTGCAGACAATGTTATTAATCAGTTTTATGGCCAGTTTAGTCTGGCTTAAGCAAGCCGAAAAGATAATGGGCTGGGTCTAAAGCGATTGGGAAGGGGAGCAAAAATTTAATTCTAGAAGAATTTAAGTAGTTTCCCAGAAAGGGCGTGTGCTGGGACATTCCCAGTAAATGTGATATAAAGTCTCTAGATACTCATTGCATCTCCAACAGGTTAAAGGTAATGCCGAGTTGAGTGTATGGAGAAGTTCAGGAGTGAGGTACCAGCGAAATAATTTTTATATTGATTCCCCTTGTAGAGGGTATGGATATTTTGTTATTATTCCAGATATCCTCCCATTCCTCTCTATCCATGTACAATCTATAGCTTTTCTCCCATTTTGAGCAAATGTTTGTGGATGGAATCAATGTTACATTTCTAGAATGTTTGGATAATTTCTATATGTTTGAGAATTTGCGCATGCAAATCAACATGTGACTATCATGTAGGAAAAAGAGGAATAACAAGTACAAAAGTGCAATTATTGTAAGCCATAAAGATGTGAAACGTGTAAAGTAAGATGTAGAGAAAGTAATACTGTTTGAGTGAAAGATTGAGACCTGGAAAGGTTGCATTGTACAGAGACATAACTCCTTTCATACCAGGTAAGCCAAAGAAACCATATATCTAACACAGAGTGAAGGCAACCTCTACTGAAGGCAAACATTCCTTTTGTAGATGCCATAGGTGTGGACTAGAGTGATCACTCCTGAGCTGGTAGGAAGGGTAACGAAATTCCAGTGACAAGCTACAACTAGTCTGACAGCTAAGGAGGTATTGAACAAGGGGAGGGGAGGGTCTCTATACCAATACCTATTTGGGGGAAGGGTGTAAGCTAAGCTTTGGTGATCTAAGATGTTAGCTGGAAAATGTCCACCCAGAATTTGGATATTTGGTGTATACGTCCAGAAAATGTGGTGTAGATTACCTGTGGACCTACAGCCGCTCCTGCATAGAGAAGAAGCAGAGGAGTCCTTTTTGTGGGGGTTGAGGCGTCATGTACCGCCAAAGAGTAATTTCATGGGTTCGTTCCCAAAGGTCAGCGGACAAAGTAGCTTTTGAAGGTAGCTTCCAAAATAGCCTTCCACTGGGAGTCTGTAAGGGCAGTACCGATGTCTCATCCCCATCTCAAAAGGGGGGTCAACAGATTGTAGAAAAGGGATATCCTCTTCGTAACTAGGTTTTCCTCAGACAGAAATCTCCAGGCTTGTCAATGTTTTTAACTACCTCCTGCCCGGCATATAAGGAAATGAAGGACAGGCGGTGGTTCTCTCATTCAGGTAGGACGTCCTATGACTCCTTCCCACTCTAACGGCGCATGTGCACCCCTGGGGGTGTGCGGCATGGCAATCAGTGGTGGATCACTGATCAGAGGAAAGAACTAATGATGTCGGCTCTGTCATGTGATCAGCTGTGTCCAATCACAGCTGATAGCATGTACACAAGGAAATGCCAATTACAGCGCGTGAGGAGAGGTAAGTGGGTAAGCAGCATTCCTCAGAGGGGACATCTTCACTGATCATCGGGGCCCCATCAGTGCCACCTGTCAGTGCCACATATCCGTTCCTACCAGTGCACATCAATGCCACATATCAGTGCCCATCTGAGCTGCCTTTCAGTGCCACCTATCAGAGCCATATGAGAGTGCTGCCTTTCAGTGCTACCTTCCAGTGCCTCCTCAACAGTGCTGCCTTTTAGTGCCCATCACTGCAGCCTCAGCGCACATCAGTGAAGGAGAAAAATTACTTATTTACAACATTTTATGACAGAAATGTAAAAAAAATAATTTTCAGTATTTTTTAGTTTGAGCAAAAAATAGAAAACACCAGGGGTGATTAAATACCACCAAAGAAAGCTTGATCTGTCTCAAAAGAATGATAAAACGTTCATATGAGTACAGTGTTGCATGACCATGCAATTGTCATTTAAAGTGCGACAGCGCTGAAAGCTGAAAATTGGCCTGGGCAGGAAGGGGGTAAAAGTGCCTGGTAGGCAAGTATTTAAATAAGCCAGGGGAGTGAAGCAGGCACTGAGTAATATGGGAATATCTAAAGTGTTCTGAGAATGGGAGGTCATATTCCTTTTTTGGGGTGTAGAAAATAATTTGAGTAGGTTTAGGGAGTAAAGGTCTGCCACGTGAGTATTGTTTCGCTGTATCCATGCATTCAGGCATATGTCGGGTATAAGATGTCTAAGAGTGGAGCTAGGGATTGGGAGTTGGACTGGGGTGCTACCGTGAGGCACTTTAGACAAAAAATATGTAGAGACAGAAAATGAAACGTACGGTGGATATAAAAAGTCTACACACCTCTGTTATGTCAGGTTTCTCTGATGTAAAAAATGAGACAAAGCATTTCAGAACTTTTTCCACATTTTTTTTTTTTTAACGTAACTTATAAACTGTACAACTCAGCTCCACCTAAAAGATTTCATTTGTTGTTCAACTAAGTAAAAATACAAAAAAAAAATAAAAATATGGTTGCAAGTAAACTAATACTTTGTTGAAGTATCTTTTTTGATTTTATTACAGTACTCAGTCTTTTTGGGTATGAGTCTATCAGCAAGGCACATCTTGACTTGGCAATATTTGCTCACTTTTCTTTGTAAAAACACTCAAAATCTGTCAGATTGTGAGGGTATCTCCTGTGCACAGCCCTCTTCAGATCACCCAA